GATTTTTAGTATACCTGTAATTTGATTGCATCCCATCAAGTGAGGTCATGATAGAATTTTCCATATTTTGTATAAATCTGGCCTGCAAAAAGTTTTAAGTTTTTGAAACAGTGTGAATTCTGGGTTTTGGATAGAGATGTCTAACCTACATAATTTTTAAAAATCAGAATCAGGCTATATATAATATTTAACTTGCTTAGTTTTACTTATTCTGTTAAGTGATTTCCTGTTATTTTTCTTTTTTCTCATGTATATGTTTATTCTTGGGGGGGATCCGTGTGTGTGTGTGTGTGTGTGTGTGTGTGTGTGTGTGTGTGTGTGTTTGCGCGCTGACGTTTGACATCAGGAATTCTGGATTGCTCTCCATCCTAGTCACTGAGTCAGGATCTCTCAGTTGAACCTAGAGCTGACCCATAGAGCTAGTTTGGCTAACCAGCTTGCTCTCAGGATCTCTTGTCTCAGCCTTAGGAATGCTGGAATTGCAGGTGGGAACATGTTCTCCCTACTTTTTTGTGGGTCCTGGGGATTCAAACTCTGATCATCACACTTGTGAAGCAAGTGCTTTAACCATTGTGCCATCTCCCCAGCCTAGTGCTTTAGTTTCAATAAGTAGTCTGAAAATGGGATTTTTGTGATTATGAAAATACCATTACTGAGCTATATTCACTATCCTTCATGCTTTTTACATTCATTTACTTTTATCTTTTTTCTATTGTAAAGAATATTGCTTAAGGGGCTGGAGAGATGGCTTAGCGGTTAAGAGCACTGACTGTTCTTGCAGAGGACCCTTGTGTTTGATTTCCAACACCCACATGATGGCTAACAAGCATCCATAACTCCTATTCCAGGGGATTTGACACCCTCTTCTGACCTCCATGGGCATTGCATGACATGGGTGCACTTAACACACATGCAGGCAATACACTCATACACATGAAATAGTAAATAAAATATTTTTTAAAAGAATATTGTTTGAACATATTTGTCATACATCTTTTATTTGTCAAATTCCTGTTTGGAGAAGGGAGTAGATTCCTAGAAAGGGAATTACTGGGTCCAGAGGAATGAACTTTTTAAAGCTCTATGCACATAGTATCAATTGCCAGAAATGGATGAAAGTATTTCCCATTTTGTTTTATTTACATTACCTAAAGATAGTAATAAAAATGATCCTTGCAAATTAGAAAAGACACATAGAATTTAAAAATCTTTAATAAGAAAAGGTAGTGTTTTTCTATTTTTCCAATTATTAATTCACTTGCTGCTAATAACAGAAAAGGCAGTGGCATGTGGGCATGTTTAGTTACTTTGTTAAGTGTGACAGACTTTTTTTTCAGGAATATTATTGCTCAAAGAGGGAAAATAATTGCCACAGGATTTTTGCAAGCAGAAAAGAAATCTTAATTAAAAACAACTATCTAGCAGCTTTCTCTAGCACTGAAGGTAGTATTTGGCACGTAGATGTTCTAACTCTTGTTGAATGGGTGAGTGAACAAAAAGGGAAAAATTCACATGCAATTTGAAGACAAGAAAAAAAATAGTTTGCTGAGTACATATGGAGCTGTGGTTTGCTGTACCCAGGACAGAAGTTACGATTGTTATTTAGAGCTTTTATTGTAACACCTAGAAATTTGGTTAATTCTATTAGGTTTGTTGTTGTTGTCATTGTTATTATTTTTATTATTATTTATGTGTGTATGTGTTTGTGTGTGGAGGCCAAAGGTTGGTGTTGAGTGTCGAGTGTTTCTCTGAATCGCTCTCCAATTTTTTATGTATGTATGTATGTGTGTATGTATGTATTGTTTATTGAGATAGGATCCCTCACTGAATCAAGATACCACTGATTTGCCTAGACCAACTGGCCAGAGGAATCCATCTGTCTCCACCTTCCCATTACTAGGACTGCATGCTCAAAGCACCATACCAGGCTCTTTTTTTCTTACTTTTCTTTCTTTTTTTTTTTTTTAACATGGGTGCTGGAGCAAGTATCTTATCAACTAAGTCATCTCCCAAGCCCAAGCTTTGCTAGTTAAAACTAAGTAGTATTAGAAAATGTTCTAGGGGCTAAGGAGATAGCTCGGTCAGTAAAGTACTTATCAAGCAAGCAAGCATGAGGATGTGAGTTCAGTCCACATAACCCATATAAAAAAGGTTGGCACAGCAGCATGCATTCGTAATCCCAGTGCTAGAGGAAGAGGTAGATCCCTAGGGCTCACTGACCAGCCAACCTAGAATACTTGGTGAGCTCAAGGTCAGTGAGACTCTATTTCAAAACAAAAAGTGGGTGGTACCTGAGGAATGACACACAAGTTTGTCCTTCGATCTCCACACATACACACACACACACACACACACACACACACACACACACACATACATGCACGCACTCAATCACAAACATGCACACACAATATCAAAAATGAAAATGTTCTAGAATTCTTAGTTGAATTTTAGATTTGTGAAAATGTGTTTATGTCTGCTCTTATTTACTGAACTACAATCGCTCGGTGTGTGTGTGTGTTGAAATGTTTTAAAATGCTTTACCTTCAGCTAAAAGGAAAACATATCATGCAATTTTTGTTGC